GAGAGAGAGAGAGAGATTTAACGATGAGAAAGAGAGGCATTTTAAAAACCTTACCTTTTGAGCAAGCAAATAGCCTCCGAAACGGTAGGAGACACCGAGAGAGAGCCTGATTTCGTTAGCAGCCAGAAGCCTGATATGAGGGTGAGGGTGAGGGTGAAGCCGAGTGGGAGAGTGGCTAGTCGCAGAAAGCTCAGCGAGAATAACAAAATTTGCGAAGTGGTCACAATTGAAATTGGGTTGCTGCATTTATTCCCCCGAACAAGCTCAAACTTTTAGAATAAATTTCTCGAACGTTATAATACACCTAAGCTATAAAATTTTACAACGATAGTTAAAGTCAAATGGTACGGTTGTATTCGATCGATTTGAAGTTTTCAAATTTTCAATTTTACCATTTTCACCGTAATCCATTATGAATCCTAAACTCAATTTAAATAACTTAATAACTAACTTATTAATATTGTCTTAATAAGTTTAATTAAAATATAAAACTACTATATTAATTAACTAATTAATACTTATTTAAAATAGAATATAAAAATTATTTATGAAATTATATAATATATATGAGTTGGGTCTAATAGGGCTCATACCCATTTTAGGTCCACTATATTGGACCCAAACCTAATCCGTAGGGTTCAGGTTTTGGACCCATATCCAAACCCAGGTCGAGCCTACCCTATGGGTACCTTGTCAAGTCCGGGTCTATTGCCAAGCCCGAATAATATACAATTCACCACCCTTCAAATTGCAAAGGTTAATGATATAATGATTTCTGAATAGTAGATTAGAAAAATGACTTGTGAAAGGTAGATTTGCTAACTCTGTGGTTTATTTTTTAAAACAAGTTACTTTTTGTAATGTATGGTCAGTAAATAAAGTTCTTTTTGTAAATATCATTAAAAGACAAATGATACTTTTATCGTCTCTATAAAAAGTAAAGTTTAAATTTTTAATAAAGAACAAAAGTAATAAATTTTATACTTTTATAAAAATTTTAAATATTTTCTTACTTAATTATTAAGTTACCTATTAAAATAATTTTTAAACAAAAATAATAATTTTTTTTATTAAATCCAACATCACAACTCATTCTCATATTAACTTTTGTTAACTTTAAACAATTCTTATATATAATCCACCGTTCACAATTCACTCTAACATTAAATTTTATAATTTGAAAGTACGTGAATTATAGATTATCCATATATATATGAAAACCTTTTCCAAAACCTATAAGCGAAATGAATAGCGTTTTCACCCTGCAATGGCTTTCGTAAATTCGTTGCGACTTAGCATGAAAAATCGACCACACCAGGCATAATATACGTGTGCGGTGGATTTTTTCCCACCATCCAAAAAATTTATATGACGACCAACCTATAGGTGAAAACACTTCATTTTTTGCTCATAGACCTTGCTTAAGGCTTTCCATATCTCTAATGTTCTCTTAAAGGAAAAAGCTTATAGATAATGTTGCGACTTTATTTGTAGAAATAAAGTAGTAATCTATACCATCTATTTAGAATGGTGTAAATTGAATAATATCTTAAAAGACATGCCACACATTGACATTGTCTTAAATACGTTTCTAATCTGGATTGTTTAAATAAAATGGGTAATGTGTATCACATTCTTATTTCGGCAAATAAAGTTACAAACATATACAAACCGTACCTTTTTTAATAACTTAATACATCATGGCCCAGAAACCTTATTTCAATTTTGTTTTTCCTTATTTTATTATTGTTTTTAGTTTTAAGATATAGGATCAAGGGGTGCACAGTCCACCCAAACTATCTATTTTTCTTTCCAACCTTTTTTAAAACACGGGAAAGAATACTACATGAACGACATCGTTGTTGCATTAATGATAAGAAGGCTATATTATGTGTCCATATCCTCCAGGTCATCAAATTCCATATATTAAAGTTCTCGCATTGGAAAGTAAACGTCACGATACCCGTGAATAAAAGTATAATAGCACACAATGTTGTTAAGAGCAGCGAGAGACGCAATATTGCTTTTTGTGTGTCAAATATCCAAGCAACTTCGGGCCAGAGAATGAAAAAAACGAAGAGCCTATCAAAATTGATCATATTTAAGAAAAAAAAGTTTATATAAAGTTGCAACTTTAAAATGTAGAATTAAGATGCATCTAAAAAATCCATCATAAATGATTGTTTTGATACTTGAAAATCCTCTAATTGATCATCTTGACATCAAGATATATAAATATGAAAAAGAAAATAGATTTCAAGTCTCAAAATAGTGTACTTTATAATATATTATCTGGACCGTCTATTTTCAAGATTTTCTTGTACTCATAGATATACTTGATTTAAACTATTTTTAGAACTTAAAATTTTATAAATAGAGATAGAAAATAGATTCCTGAGCCATCTTCAGATTATTATTTTTTTTTACACCAAAATTACATTTATGATGAAATTCAAAGGTGCACCGTAATTTAATTGTTTAAGGCTGCAACCTTAGGCGAACTACACCCCATTTAAAATAATAACACATGCAATCCAACCTTAAAATATAGTAAGATGTTATAAGATACAAGCTTTCAACTTCACAGTAGCATCGAATCAAACCAACTATTAAAAAAGGCGTAGAGTTCTAAGAGACTGGGCTTGCGGACATCTAAATTGGAGTAATAAATTTTAGGAATCCTCTCTATATTCTGATTCCCCATCTCAAAAGCCAAAATGAGAGATCGAAAGCAAACGCCTAACAAAACTGAACAAGGGAGTGGCTACATTCTATCCTCCCTCTTCCGTGGAGCGCAAGTAATAATCTCATCAACTCTGAGGATCATCTCAGCAGCCTCGGTTGCCGATAACAATATTGCTTGCTTCACTTTGAAAGACTCCGAAATTCCAAGTATTTCCATATCTCCCACCTATATGCGACATAAAACCCAATGAATAAATGGAGTTCCTCAAAGAGAAGCATGCATGAAATAAAGTGCCAAATGGGGTGGGCTTAGAGAGAGAGATGCATGTCACATAAAATTCTACAGCATTTTCACAATCAAAAGCATAAAGGATACAAAAACAAATGTAGTAACTAGAGAGAGCGATGCATGCCACAAACTTCTACAGCATTTTCATAATCAAAATCATAAAGGATACAAAAAAATTAAAACCAAATGTGGTAAGAGAGAGAACGCACAGCTCCGGAGATAACATCAATTCCAGCCTTGGTTTCATCCTTGTGGTGCTCAGCACGAAGCTGAGCAACCAGTTCAGCACTATCCAATCCGGCATTGTCAGCAATGATTGTGGGAATGGCCTGCAGTGCGCGTGAAAATGCCTCAATTGCAAGAGACTTCTTCCCAGGGGTCCTCCTCGCAAGATCATCCACTTCCTTGGCCATCACCATCTCAGGCCACCCACCACCAAGTAACACCCTGCTGTCTGTCACTGTTTGTGATAATACGCACAGAGCATCATGCAAAGACCTCTCTGCTTCATCCAGAACATGTGAACTGCAAAAGCAAAACAATGCCAAAAGCAAACTTTTAAGCTAAGGGCCCTTTCGATCCCTGAAAAAAGATTGACCAGGAAATGGTTTTCCAGGTAGATTGCTCATTAAGGCGGTTTGAATCCAAAATGTGGGGCGAAATTTTTTTTCTGCCAAAAACTGTTTTCTCGATTTTGAGCCCAAAATTTAGAAATTGTTTTCATCCCAAAAGCTAAAAAGTTAATTTCCCTATCAGATTTCCTTACTGAACCGAACTGAAACAAGCATATACCTTGTTGTTTCCCTCCCTCGTCTTCTCTCTCCATGTCAACCCAACTCCCCTCTCTCCCCCTTCCTCCTTCCCCCACCCCACAACCAACACCCAACCAAGAAAAAAAAAAAACCAACTGTCCCTTCCCTACCCATAGCTCTCTCTTTCTTCTCATTCTCAAAAGGGTGTTGTTTCCACAAGGTTGCAACCTTAAACAATCCAATTAAGGCGCACCTTCAA